TGGCATTAAGTAAGTTGAAAATGTTGCGCAACCCTAAACACTACTTCCAGAGCCTTTTCATCATCCCCAAACAGAAACTGCATCCATTAAACAATAGCCACCCATGCACCCCTGCCCCTCAGCCTCTAGTAAGTTCTACTTCCTGTCTGTATGATTTTGCCTAATTTGATACCTCTTATGAGTGGAATCATATAATATTTGCTTTTTTCTGTCTGGCCTATTTTACTTAGCATAATGTTTAAAGATTCATCTATGTCGTAACATGATTGGGATTTTATTTCTTTTTTAGGCTTTATAATATTCTGTTATAATATAGACACATTTTATTTATCCATTCATCTATTAATGGGCACTTAGGTTATTTCTATCCTTTGTCTACTATGAATAGTGTTAGTATAAACATTGATGTGTAAGTATCTGTTTAGGTCTCTGCTTTTAATTTTTTTGGTATAGTAGTATTCATAGAAGTGGGATTGCTGTAATTCTACATTGAACTTTTTGAAAAAAGGTCATACTGTTTTCCACAATGGTTACGTCATTTCACTCCCAGCGGCAATGCACCAGGGTTCCAATTTCTCTACATTGTCACCCCTTGTTATTTTCCTTTCATTTGATAAGTCACCTTAATGAGTGTGAATTGGTATCTCATAATTTTTAAGATGACATTTTTTTTTAATTTAAATGTTTTATTGCTGACACTCTGGGAGATGTCCCCTATTATCACCACCTTGCCCTCCTCTACACAATCCTCACCCCTGTCTCTGGGCCCTCACCATGCTATTGTCTGTGTTCACGGGCTAGGCATATACTGTATGTTCTTTAGCAGCTGATCTCTTCACTTTCCTTTATCCAATCCCCCCACCACCTTCCCCTATGACATTTGTCAGTTTATTCCTATGGTTCTAGTTTGTTTGTCAGTTTATATTCTTCATTAGGTTCCACATATTAGTGAGAACATACAGTATCTGTTTTTCTATGACTGGCTTATTTCATTTAGTATAATAATCTCCAGATCCATCCATACTTATGCAAAAGGTAAGAGCTCCTTTTTTTTTTTTTTTTTTTTTTTTTTACAGCTGTGTAGTATTCCATTGTGTAAATATACCACAGCATTTTATTCACTTATTTACGGATGGGCACTTGGGCTGTTTCCAGATCTTGGCTATTGTAAATAAGTCTGCTATGAACATAGGAGTGCATACATTCTTTCTGATTGGCGTTTGAGGATCCTTAAGATATATATTTAGAAGTGGGATTGTTGGGTCAAATGGGAGTTCCATTTTTAATTTTTTGAGGAAACTCCATACTGTTTTCCACATTGGCTGCACCAGTCTGCATTCCCACCAACAGTACGCTAGGGTCCCTGTTTCTCCACTTCCCTGCCAGCATTTGTTTGTTGATTTATTGATAGTTGCCATTCTGAACAGTTGTGAGGTGATACCTCATTGTAGTTTTAATTTGCATCTCTCTGATGATTAATGACCTTGAGCATTTTTCCATATGTGTATCGGCCATCTGTATGTCCTGCTTGGAGAGGTTTTTGTTGAGTTTTATAAGTTCTTTATATATTTTGGAGATTAACCCCTTAGAAGATGAATCATTGGTGAATATGTTCCCTCATACACTGGGTTCTCTTTTGGTTTTGTTGATGATTTAATTTGCTGTGTGAAGCTTTTTAGTTTGATGTAGTCTTCTTTGTTTATTTTTTTTCCTTGTCCTCAGAGACTTATTGTAGCAAAAAGATTACTACAAGAGATGTCTGAGATTTTGCTGTCTATTGTTCTTCTAATATGGTTATGGTTTCATGGCTTACATTTAAGTCTTTCATACATTTTGAGTTTATTCTTCTTTATGGTGTAAGTTGGGAATCCAGTGTCATTTTTTTTTTGCATTTTTTTGCATTTTTCAACATCATTTATTAAAGAGACTATCTTGACTCCATTGTATGCTCTTGCCTCCTTTGTCAAATATTATTTGACTGATAAAGGCCATGGGTTGATTTCTGGGCTATTTTGTTCCATTGGTCTGTATGCCTCTTCTTGTTCCAGAACCAAGCTGTTTTGATGACAGTTGCTTTGTAATATATTTTGATATACGGTATTGTGATACCTCCAACTTTGTTCTTCTTTCTCAAGATCGCTGCTATTATTTAGGGTCTTTTTGGTTCCACATAGTTTTTGGAATATTTGTTCTAGATCTGTAAAATATGCCATTAGTATTTTCATTGGAATTGCATTGAATATATAGATTGCTTTGAGTAGTATGGACATTTTAATGATGTTAATTTTGTACATCTTCCAACCCATGTACATGGTATACGCTTCCACTTATTTGCATCTTCCTCAGTTTCTTTCATCAGTGTCCTATAGTTTTCAGGTCTTTTACCGATTGGTTAAGTTTATTTCAGGTATGTTATTTATTTGTTGTTATTGCAATGGAAATGGAATAGTTATCCAGCTGGCATGACTCAGGGGTTGAGTGTTGACCTATGCACCAGGAGGTCATGGTTTGATTCCCGGTCAGGGCACATGCCTGGGTTGTGGGCTTGATCCCGAGTATGGGGCATACTGGAGGCAGTCGGTCAATGATTCTTTCTCATTATTGATGCTAATATCTCTCTCTCCCTCTCCCTTACTCTCTGAAATCAATAATTAAAATATATTAAAA